GACTTTTGTTTAGAAACTCCAGCTTGTTCATGAATTGCTGTTTTGGTTATAGAGAGTTCCCGATTTGCAGTGGCAAAGACTTGAGGCCCTGACGTGCACCTCTGCCCTGAGAGCAGGGAAGGTGAAGGTTGTCAACTTCAGGTATCTCCTCACAGGGAGAGAGTCGCCAGTCGGGCCCCATCACAATGTTAGCGTAAAGGAGTCAAATCAAACGTGAATGACCAGGGGCCAGTTTGTAAGACTCAGTGCTCAGTTATTCCAAGTTTGAGAATATTCAAAAGAGGGAAAGTCGAACCTTTTAGCCGAGATGTGAAATGAGCAGATGTTCCCGGAATTGGCTCATCGTGACACAGAATGCCAGCCCAAATTTGCTGTCCAGACAGGTTCCTGTGCTGACAGAGGCAGCTGACGAGTTTTGCTCTCCTTTAGGTGGATCCAAGAGGAAGAGAGCACGGAGCAGCGGGCCGAGGAGACTGAGAGCAGGCCGGGCAGGGCGCGCTTAGGCAGCCTTCGGCGTTTTGAGTCCCTGAGCTCCCTCAACCTGTGTCCTGCCTCCTCACTTGCCAGCTCCTGCCCGCCCAGCAGGGCGCCCTCCCCACCCCGAAGGAGGCGGCGCAGCCTGGCGCACGAGGGAGACCGGCTGGGCATCATGACTGCGGTATGTGTCTGCCTCCTCCCTGCCACATCCCTCCCTGAGCACACTGTTTTTCTTTCTTTGTTTTTTCTCTTTATCCCCAGAGGAAAATCAGGTACATTTTCTATGCTCAGAGGGCTAAGAGTTTTAAAACTGCCTGGTCTTTAATCATTCCATAATGGCACAGGGACCAATTAGTGTTGATATTTGCACCACCGGCTTAGCAGGCCATCATGAACTCAGCCAGAGCCTGCCTCTGGAGCGGTGGGCCTGGCCTGTGCTGGGCACGACAGCGGCAGGGAAGTTTCTGTCGTCAGGGAGCAGACAGCCTCGTGAAAGTTACCACAGGCAGCCCTCATGGCGAGTGAAAGGCGGGCAGCACATGTTCCACCGGGGTCGCCTGGCTGCAGGGTGCAGGGCATGCGGTGGCAACAAAACCAAGAATCTGAACTGGTCCGCTTGCTGATGGGCCTTGCCGCACGCGCTCAGGCCAGCTGTGCGCGTGAAACCAGTTAAAGGCCCGGGGCCCCAGGGCCCCAGGGAAGAAGTCGGGCTGCCTCACTCTTCCGCGTCTCAACACGGGATGACGACCTAGGGCTTCTGGTGACAGAGTGTGCGGCTCTAAAGCACATGTGCCAGCTTTCTTGCCTGTGTAGCCTAGTTTTCTGAGTGCATTGCTGTTTACCCCGTGAATCTCGTGTACAACACTCTGCCTTGAAACTGCACCTGTATTATCCCTTTCTTCTGTTCCCACCCATTTCATGTTAGCTGCGTTGTTAGCATAGAATTAAAATAAATGTGGGTCATTTTAGCTGCATGTGAAGTGGTACCTGGTCCATTTTGTGGTCTTTTGACACACTGCTTTTATAATTTGTATCATTGTCTAAGTCGTTGATATTTAAAATTCTTGGCTATTTCTCTGTGGCTCCATGCTTGATTTCTTGCGGAGTGTTTGCGAAAGAACAGTCCTGAATAATTTTTCCTTCTGGCGTTTTCTGACGGTGTGCCTGCTCTCATCATTGGTTTTGATTTCCTGACTCATCGTGTTGTCTCTCTAGCCGTCATCAATCCAGATCCCAGCCTCCCATCCCCCCCACCGGAGGCTGTAGTTCACACATCCATCTCCCCTCCCCATCCTCCCACTCGCTCTGGTCATATCAGTGCTGTGTCCCATTAGTCTGGTTTGTGGTTTGTCTTCGTGTCTCATTAAATGGTGTTTTTCCTGCATAGCAGTAAGTTAGAGTTAGTGCACCACTATACAGTTAAAAGCATAATGTAGATGGATCATACACTGTATGGACAGCAGATGCCTCTCCCAGGCAGCCTTCAGAGACCCCCAGTGGGCACTGCAGAGTGCCCTGGAGGAGGAGTCTGCTGGTTCCCGTTGTGCCATTTGAAGGCGAGAGAAGCGAGAGGATGTGCTGACCGGGCTGCTAGGGGTGAACCCATAGGCAGCTGGTGCGCTGGGGGGTAGCAGGGATGGTGGCAGGTGGTCTTGCAGCCAGCGAAGGGGGTAGCCCAGCCCTGGGGAGGGGTTGTGAGGAAGTCAGGGGGCGAGGGCTCTGGCCACGGGGGCCAGGTAGCCGGCAGCCAGCACCTCGAGGCTGTCCCTCAGTTGCTTTGAGGTCATGCGTGGGAAAGAAGGCAGGACCTGGGTTGAGAGTCGGACAGGGGGGAGATTTGCAGAGAGAAGGTTGTGAGGTGTGAGAGCAGGAGGGCGGCACAGGGCCCAGCAGGCACTCTCCCGTGCGTCTCTGATGGCAGAGCCGCCCTTGCGGTGCGAGGGGCTATCCCCCAGCAGAGCCCGAGTGCCTGTGCCCCGAGAGGACAGCCGTGGAGGGCTCCCCTCCAGTTCCCTGGCTGCCCCTGCTCGCTCCTCTCTCTGCATGTTCGGGCCAGCCTGGAACACGTAGGGCTGGGAACCTGGGAGGACGGCACTCCTCGGGGAACTAGTACAAGTGACGACCGCTGAGGCGGACCCAGCGGCTGCGGAGCGGAAGTATTTTTTCCTTCTTATTTTCCTTCAGCCTGCCTGATGGAGGCATGGATGTATGTTTGCAATTTTGCGTTTTTGTCCCTGACTCCGTCAGCGCACTCTTGTGAATAACCTGATAGGCTTGCCTTCCGTCCACGCTGACCTGAGTGTCAGCAGGCCATCTAGGAACTAGATTCTCCTCCAGCCCATTTCTTCAGTACTGCTCGCTTAAGAGATGGCAGTGTCTCATAGGCATGGCCGTTTATCCAAAGTCGGGCTTCCATGTAAAATTGTGTTCGGTTCCTGATAGACGTGAGCTGTCCTGAATGTCGCTGACCAGCCGTGGTCCTCTCATGCCCAGGTGCAGAGCCAGAGGGAGCAGGACTGGGAGTCCGCGCAGCAGACCCGCGTGGTGGCCACCATGGCCCAGGATTTCGAGAGTGACGAGGATGTGTCTGACGGCGAGGGCGACAGGGTCACCCTCTTCAGCTCGGCCGGTCAGCTGCCGCCCAGTGGGCAGGCCGATGCCGACACTCTGCCTGTGATGCCTCGGGAGCAGCTGGACACCATCAGTGAGGAGACCCGGTGGGTGTGCCCGAACTCGGCTCCCCAGAAACTGGGCTTCTCTGAGGAGCTGTCTTCTCCTACGAGAAGTCTTGAGTGTTCCATAGTGAGAAAACTGACTTCAGGCCTGCTTCAAGGATTTTCAGTTCTCAGACCACCCTTGATGAGAGAGCTCAGACAGGCAGGCCGTTCTGTCCACAGCTGGTGTCAGCACTCTGTGGGGGGGGGGGCTTTGTGGGGTGTCCCCCCCCCAGCTCTGAGCCCCAAGGTGGGTGAGGTGCCGACGCAGTGTCCTCTGCGTCCCGTGTGCCCTCCAGCACTGAGAGTTCACCCTCCCGTGTCCATCGGAGACTCCCACGTTCTGGTGAAAAGCTACCTGGAACAGAAAAGCAGGGGTTTGGGGGTTGGCAAATTCCCATTCAGATCTGCATTGTCCTTTTCAAGTTAATACAGTGTGAAGATTGGCTTGTTGTAAGACAGTGGCCCAAAACATGTGTTTGAGCTTTTTTCATCTCATCAGGTTATTTAAGATATTTTCTTTAGACACTGTCTTCTCAGTTGTAACAGTTTACAGCTCGAGATAGAAGGCAAAGGTCTGCCTGGTGATGAGCAGCAGGTCTTGGTTCTGGGTGTAGCTGGGTGTCCGGGGGCCCCGAGGCCTTCCTGGGCCACACCCGCACAGCTGAGCCCCTGTCCCGGTTCCACGTGCAGAGCGGTCACAGGCCGGTGACCATGTGCAGGAGCAGGCAGAGGTGCTGCTTAGATTGTTGTCTTCACGTCAGCCCAGGCCGAGATGCCCGGTCCTCAGTGCCGAGCACGTGGGGCTCGGGGGGAGGGTAGCCGAGAATGGCACAGCCAGCAAATGCAGGTGGTGCCACCTGCACTTTTGATGCCGAGACAGACTGCCTCCTTGGCCTTGTTTCAGCTCAGATTAGCTCAGAAAGATGGGCTTTCCCTGTCCCCGCAGGTAATATGGAACGGTTGCATATTAATATTTTTTTATTACAGCAAGTTTTCAGGTAAAGTGAATTTTCCTTAGGCAGTAAGTTGACTTCTTTTATGAATAGTAAATTGTGTCCATCAGCTTGCTATCACAAGTGAAAAACTTTCAAGACTTTTACGTAGAATGAAGCTGAAGAGGTTATGACCTGCAGGAATCCCGTGTTTTAATTTGGAAATCATTTTATAGGCATCATTGTGTATTTCAACTGCTATATAAAATCATCCACTACACATTAGGGGAGAAGAACAGTAAGCGTGAATTCTAGGTTAATGCGGCAGATTGACATGAATCCAGAAACTCACACACAGCTGGTGGAGAATTTCATCAAGTGATGTGTTGTTACACATACATCCTTAAAAAAGTAAAAATCCCCTCAGCACTTCATCTGGTCTGGGGAGTTTTGTTTAGAAACTCCAGCTTGTTTGTGAATCGCTGTGTTGGTTATAGAGAGTTCCCGATTCCCAGTGGAGAAGACTTGAGGCACTGACGTGCACCTCTGCCCTGAGAGCAGGGAAGGTTAAGGTTGTCAGCTTCAGGTATCTCCTCACAGGGAGAGAGTCGCCACACAGGCCCCGTCAGAATGTTAGCGTAAACGAGTCAAATCAAACGTGAATGACCAGGGGCCAGTTTGTAAGACTCAGTGCCAAGTTATTCCAAGTTTGAGAATATTCAAAAGAGGGAAAGTCGAACCTTTTAGCCGAGATGTGAAATGAGCAGATATTCCTGGAATTTGCTCATTGTGACACAGAATGCCAGCCCAAATTTGTTGTCCAGACACGATGCTGTGCTGACAAAGGCAGCTCACGAGTTTTGGTCTCTTTTAGGTGGCTCCAGGAGGAAAGGGAGAGCACGGAGCAGCGGGCCGAGGAGACTGAGAGCAGGGTGGGCGGAGCACGCTTCTGCAGCCTTTGGCATTTTTTTTGTCTGTTTGTTTGTTTTTTTTGGTCAGTGCATTTTATTTAATCAGCACAGTACAAAAATAAATAAAAATAAAGAGAAGGGAATTAAATTACAGCCAAACTGAGCTTTATGACCTTTTTAGATTATAAACCACACATACTTACAACCACGCTATGCATACATACAAAAATGAGACAAATATAAATTAATATTAACAATACCCACAGTTTGGTCAAAGAATAGCTACAGAAGAAATTGCACTAAAAAACCAGCATACGTCGCTCGTGTGTTATTAGCAGTTTCAAATATACAGCTAAGAATAGTTCCAAGTGGGCAAAAAAAATGGCACATTTCCTTTTCATTGCAAGTTTCACAACTGCTAGAACAAAACTAAGTTCTAATAACTGTATGGAAAGAATATATCAACCCTTCAGGTTTTACAAGAAAAAAGAGAAAAACCAAATTCTGAACTATTATTCCTGTGACTTGTTCTGTGCACGGGTGTAATTTTCACAGCCATCTGTTCTCAGATTATTTTTCTTAAGACACAAAATGCTCCTAGTTTGCATGCACAATATCACTGTAAAAGCAACAATTAAAGAATAAAGGGTGGGGTTTTTTTTGTAGGTTAGTTTTTTTCCCTTTTTTTAAAATTGTGCTCAAATTAGTCTTCGTAGCAGCATGTCGAACGGCTTCATTGCTTGCACACTCAAGTGTATCAGTCTCTTTACACAATGCTGATGACCAGTGCAGAGGAGCAGACCTCGCCAGGCTTCACATGGATGGAGCTAGAGAGTTCTTTCTTTAGTCCCCAACCATTCCTGAAATTTGCACCGCCTCCATAAATTAAAAAAATAAATATGGAGAGAGAGAAGGAAACACACAAAACTGCAATCCCGCGAGTGCGCCTTCCCTCAGTGTCAGGCCCGGCAAGGCCCACGAAGGAGCAACTCCAGACCCCTGGGTCCCGGCTCTTGACACTCGGCCCCCCAACAGCACCCCCCCCCAACCCTCCCGTGCTGCCAGGGCCCCGACGCCCCCACCGGCCGCCTACCTTGGGTCCCACACGGCAGCAGGATCTGCAGAGACAGGCTGTGTGACAACTCCCGCGGAGAAGAGGCGCTGCACGCGAGGTCCCCGCCAGGTTCCTTCCAGCCCTGCAGCAGGTAAATCTGGCCTGCGGTGCTGGGAGCAGCTCAGCATGAGCCTCGGGGCGCAGCTGAGGCCCATGCTCCCAGCTTGGGGCAGGCCCTCGTTCTCGCAAGCACCACGGGCCCGCAGGCTCGCTGCAGGGCCTATTAACTCCGGACCTCAGTTTCACAGCTCTCTCTTTTTTATGTGAATTTCAGTACTGCTTGTGCTGAAATGGCAGCCACCTGGAAGCTAATCCTATGTAAAACGGCCCCCTGCCTCCCCTTCCAGCCACCCTTGAAGGGGTTGAGACTGGAAGAGAGAATTCTCTGTGGGCCTTCACATCAGTCTTTGTTCCCCAAAGCCAGAGGGATTGCAGGTGGCTAGCTCCCTTCTCTGGGTCCTCTCCCAAGCCCCCAGCCACCGATCTGGGAGAATCAGAAAGAAAATTAAGCGACACATCATGGGCTTTTTCAGCCACTGGTGTTGAAGGTGGAGACCGAAACAAGCAGCTGCAAATGATCAGTGGCAGAATCAGCAGGCAGTCAGGAGTTGGGCTCCCAGCTCGTAATTGTCTCCAAGATCCAGCTGTCTCAGTGGGCCTTTCGGGACAAGGCTTCGTCTTCAGGAGAGACTCAACTGTTTGGAAACAGCTTTAAATCAACGGGGTGAGGGGAGGGGTGCATCATTACCACATCACCCTGATCCCTGACATCACCCCCGCCCCAACCCCTGCAGCTCTGCAGGGCAAATGCCATGGGCATTGGCAGGAGCCTGAGCCCTTAGGTGGGCACCAGCTCAGTCCCAGGCATGGCAGCCCCACCTTGCCCGGGAGGCAGGCTGTTGACAGTGGGCACCTGCAGCTGCCCTGGCCTTCGCCACGGGATGACTAAGCTGCATGATTCAAATGAAAAATTCACCCAAGAAAGGAGTTGTCCCTGGCATCACCCACCCCTTGGGAGCCGGGACCCAAAATGAAAGGACTTAGTGAGTCAAACCAGCTCATTAACCAACACTACCAACAGGGCTGGGGGTGGGGGACGAAGGAGGGGAGGTTTGGAGGAGGGGCTGTGGGGGCAGTTCCATGTCTCCACAAAGGAAAGCCCTTCTCCCGAAAAAAGAAGAAAGACCAAACCAGGGTCGTGCATGGCCAAATTAAGAGGACATGATCTTCGCACCAGGCCGGCTTCCCCTCGATTGAAGAGGCTGTCCCAGGGCCAGGGGCGTTTGGCCTTCTAAGCCCACGTGCGGCGCAGTCCAGGTGGCCGGCTCCAGGAGCCTCTGGGAGAACAGACGACCCAAAACAGGAGCCAGCAAATGGCCTCCAACCAGAAACTCCCAGCGTTTTAAGTCACTGAGCTCCCTCAACCTGTGTCTTGCCTCCTCACTTGCTGGCTCCTGCCCGCCCAGCAGGGAGCGCTCCCGTCCCCGAAGGAGGTGGCACAGCCTGGCGTGCGAGGGAGACCAGCTGGACGTCATGACTCCGGTATATGCCTGCCTCTTCCCTGCCACATGCCTCCCCAAGCACACTGTTTTTCTTTCTCTGTTTTTTCTCTTTTTCCCCAGAGAAAATCAGGTACATTTGCTACGCTCAGAAGTCTAAGACTTGTGAAACTGCCTGGTCTTTAATCATTCCATAATGGCACAGGGACCAATCAGTCTTGATATTTGGACCAGCGGCTTAGCAAGCCATCGTGAACTCAGCCAGAGCCTGCCTCTGGAACGGTGGGCCTGGCCTGTGCTGGGCACAACAGCGGCAGGGAAGTTTCTGTCGTCAGGGAGCAGACAGCCTCGTGAAAGTTACCACAGGCAGCCCTCATGGCGAGTAAAAGCCGGGCAGCACATGTTCCACCGGGGTCGCCTGGCTGCAGGGTTCAGGGCATGCGGTGGCAACAAAACCAAGAATCTGAACTGGTCCGCTTGCTGACGGGCCTTGCCATGTGCTCAGGCCAGCTGTGCACGTGAAACCATTTAAAGGCCCCGGGGCCCCAGGGCCCCAGGGAAGAAGTCGGGCTGCCTCACTCTTCCGCGTCTCAACACGGGATGACGACCTAGGGCTTCTGGTGACAGAGTGTGCAGCTCTAAAGCACATGTGCCAGCTTTCTTGCGTGTGTAGCCTAGGTTTCTGAGTGCATTGCTGTTTACCCCTTGAATCATGTGTACAACACTCTGCCTTGAAACTGCACTTGTATTATCCCTTTTTTCTGTTACCACCCATTTCATGTTAGCTGTGTTGTTAGCATAGAATTAAAATAAATGTGGGTCATTTTAGCTGCATGTGAAGTGGTACCTGGTCCATTTTGTGGTCTTTTGACACGCTGCTTTTATACTTTGTATCATTGTCTAAGTCGTTGATATTTAAAATTCTTGGACGATTTCTCTGTGGTTTCATGCTTGATTTCTTTCCGAGTATTTGTGAAAGAGCAGTCCTGAATATTTTTTCCTTGTGGAGTTTTCTGACGGTGTGTCTGCTTTCATCATTGGTTTTGATTTCCTGACTCATCCTGTTGTCTGTTTAGCCGTCATCAATCCAGACCCCAGCCTCCCATCCCTCCCAACGGAGGCTGTAGTTCACACATCCGTTTCCCCTCCCCCATCCTCCCACTTGCTCTGGTCATATCAGTGCTGTGTCCTGTTAGTCTGGTTTGTGGTTTGTCTTCGTGTCTCATTAGATGGTGTTTTTCCTGCATAGCAGTAAGTTAGAGTGAGTGTATCACTGTACAGTTAGAAGCATTGTGTAGGTGGATCATCCACTACATAACCTGTGTAATCATAAGTGAGATTATGCTTACATGGAGAAATGATCCTCTAAATGTATAATTAATGGTCTTTTGACCCAATATCCTTTCTGTGTTGATGCTTGGAGTTTAGACGGTAAATCTCATCAGCTTTTGCATGTTTAATGTCTCTACTAGACTCTTTTACAAAGTATCATTTATGGTTCATAAGATGTGAAGATTCCACTTGCTATTATGCTAGCTTTCCTTACAAATTTTCGTGGGATACCTGCTTTAATGGATTTATTCTGAAAAGTTTTATATCAAATTCTAGGTAAGGATTTTACATTAATGTCCAATAGTTGGTTAGATTTGTTCAGGTTTAAAATAGGTATTATGGTAACTTCCTAATCAGTGAAATTACTCCTTTAAAGTATAATGTGTTTTCTATTAAGAGAAACTAAGTTATAGCGAATTGTGGCTGAGAACAGACAACTCTTAAGACCCTTTGTTGAACAGAATGCTCTGCTTTAATAAATCATGATATTGTAATAGAATGGTATCTTCCTGAGTTATAATTTATAGTGTTTCTCTAGTAAACCTTGAATAGCTTATTTCACTTCTGTGGTTAAAAAATATGTTCTGTTTCCAGTTACATGTTCTCTTAAGTCTTCATCTCACATATGTTTGCCTTCATGTTTGCTTTAGTGTATTTGCCTGTAACAATTCTTGCACTTTTAGTATCAAAGTTGCAATCCATCTGGTTTCTGTTCATTTCTTTGCATGCACCTTTCAGCCTAGTGATTTAAGGAAGCATCGTCGAAAGGTTAACTATTTAATAATATAGCATGCCTTTGTTTCTCTGTGAAGTATTAAAGAGTCCTTATCGTGTTACATGAATGAACACTATGTGGTTATGTACTGGTGAATAATTGACACTAATGGAAGTTTTGAAACTCATCCACCAGTTGAAATATGCTGATGGTTCTCTTGGTAATAGGTCATTCGGGGACACTTGTAACAGTTTGCCTTTCTCCCACTTGTTTACCTTCTAATCAACTCATGCTTATTTATAATAGACAAAGGATTATTTTTAAAATTTTCTTTAGTTATTTTTTTTGCCATGCTGCACAGCTTATGGGATCTTAATTCCCCAACCAGGGACCAGACTGGTGTCCCGGCAGTGAGAGTGCCAAGTCCTAACGTCTGGACCACAGTGGAATTTCCACTCAGTGTGGAAATTTCCATTCAAAGAAACGGCTGAATCCGAGCCATAGGTGGTAGCTTTGCGGGATGCCAGTCTAATGACGGGGGTAGCAGTGTGCAGGAGCCTCTGTGCACCAGGCAGCTTGTCGAGTGCTTTCCGAGCCTGTCATCTCATCTGGCAGACACCCAGGTGAGGTCCCGGCTGCTGTCATCCCCATTCAGCAGATGTGGACACTGAGGCTTAGAGAGGCCGGGCCCTGTGCCCAGGCTCGCACAGCCAGCAGTGTGGTGCGGACTGGTCTGATGAGAGCCTGGACACTTAACCCTGCTGCCGTCCAGCCCGCTTTCCTCCAGAGGCCCTCGTGTCCCTCACGGCATCCCTGATGGAGGGAGCATCAGGAGGGAGCTCGCTGCCTCTCCCCTCGGGTCCCTTGGATGAGCCCCTGTTGTTGAGTCCAGTGCCCCGAAGGCTGGCCGTCCTTGTCCCTCTCCCACTCCCAGCCCACTGACCGACCACTCCTGGGACCTTCCCGCAGGACTCGGGCAGCCGCGCTCCAGTTCAGGCAGCTCAGTGCCCGGGAGCCCTTCTGCTGGGCACTGCGGAGCAGCACTGTGCCCTGGGGCTGGTGACCTGGGTGTGCTGCTCACCAGCTCTGTGGCCTGCTGTGCCCTCCTGTTATGTGAGGACACGGTCCTGCCCATCCTAGTCACATGGGCACCAGGGTGGCGGGCTTCCCTCCTGGGGGCGGGCGGCCAGGCTGGGGACCCAGAGGCCTTCCTCAGGAGGAGGCCCGGGGAAGGAAGGGGCTGGCTGCGGTCCCTGACTTTGAGGCAGGTGTTTGTCTCCCCTGAGTCCACGGTCAGCCCAGGCGTGTCATTTCCCACTCTGTTTTTGTTGTTTTCTGATTTTTATAAAGGCTTATTGTAACTTGAATTTGAGACTGATCCCTGTTCAGTTCCGTGGGGATCATTTCCAGCCTCTGTAGCCTTCTGTTGTCTGAGGGTTCTTGTTGGAGATCAGGGGAGGGTGCATAGTTTATCCAGCTGCTGTTAAACGGGCTCAGCTGTATTTTGCACTAAGTCACTTTGTTGTCACCAAGCTCCTGTGGGGCTGCAGTGGATCAGTATTCTTTAGAGAATCCCACTAAAAAGGCACAGGTTAGTTGGTTAAAACAACACACTCATTGTTTACAAAAATACTTGCCATGCATGTTTCCTGAAACTTCCCCAGGCTTAACCACACACCCAAATGTACTAGTGAGACCTGTCTGGACCCTGAAGGGGTTAATCTGTTCCCCACACTGTTACCACCACTGTCTCTCCTGTCCTCACACCCAGGACCAGCGGAAAAGCTGGGACTCCAGGAGAAACATGTTTTTTTTTTTTTTCAATTGGTTTATGTTTTAATTGAAGGATAATTGCTTTACAGAATTGTGTTCTTTTCTGGCAAACCTCAGCATGACTCAGCCGTAGGTATACATATACCCCTTCCCTTTTGAATCTCCCTCCCCATCCCACCCCTCTAGTCTCATACAAGGTCATCTCTTAGTGAAGACCTAGGGGTGCTTTATGTAAACCACAGTGAGCAAAGTACACTCGGACTGCGAGGGAGCACTTCAGCGTGTAGCCCCCAGTCTGTCCGTTACTGAGAAATATGAGCCAGTCACGTGGTGTTCGCATGCCGGGTTAGGTACCTTTTCTGTCTTTCCCTTGTTGTCCTGGGTTCCAGTAGGCTGCATCATGACAACAAATGATCTTGGGTGGTGGCACAAGCTGTGTCCTTTTTTTCTTCAAACAGAGAGGTCTGGACGGCTTTGCTGAGAGGTTTCTTCCTCTTGCTAGTGGAAGCAGCATCTGGCGATGAGCAGAGTCCTTTCTTCAGGGCAGTTCATGCCATGCAGGGTTCACGGTGCTGGCGTCACTCTGCTCTCCTGCCCGGCGGGGCCATCTGGTCGCTGGATTCCAGGGAGGGCGGAGCCCGGCTTCAGGGAGGCTCCCGTCCAGGGTGTCTGCACTCAGTCAGGTGCTCTCGCTGCCCCATGCCCCGCTTCTCTTGAACAAGACAGTCCTGTAAGATGGCACTAAGCTGGAACAAGGGTTTTTTGTTTTTGTTTTTGTTTTTTGCTACTTGGAGGAAAGCATAGCAAATAGATTTACAAATAAGTTTCTGGTTATAATGTAAAGCCTGTGAGGTTGCCTTTTTCAACACAGTCTATCATTAGCCAGTTTTACACTGCCATTTTACACCTGTCTCACTCAGCTGCCAGCTTTAATGGAAGAGGTAGAAGATGACAAGACTGCCATCCAATGTGAAGCCTCGAGCCCTGCCTCGCCGCAGTCCCTTTGGCTGGACCGGCTGCACACGGGGGTGCTGCGCGCAGCCAGCCCAGAGGACGTCAGGGACACCTGCAAGTAAGGGGTCTGCGCGCCTCGTCGTCAGTTTCAGGAGCCCTGCACCTGTTCTCTTGAAAGAGTTAGAAGGATGATTTTAAAGGAATCCCACTGGGTTCGGTGCCTGTGTTTAGTGGTGAACTTCAGGTGCTGTGGGAGAAGAGCTCAGTGGCCTCACTGATTTTAGAAAACGTCCATCTCTACGGATTGACCCCGCTGTGGGAGCTTTCTTCCTGCTCTTGCTAGAGGTCTGCCCCGCCCAGGGCGCGTTCCCGAGGGTGATGGCCCCGTGCCTCTCGTGTTCCCTCTTGAGGGTCCCTCCCTTTTCCTCAAGGGTCTCCTCTCAGGAGACTCCATCCCCTCCTGTGACTGACACTGTCCTCATTCAGACCACCGCCTGCTGAGCTCCCGTCCTCAGCCAGGCAGCACTCGATGGAGGGCACGTGTGGTCTCCTGTGCAGCAGCTCTCCTGCCACGGCCGGGGACGGCCACCCTGCAGAGGCGGGGGGGAGCTGCCCGGAGCGGGGGAGCTTGCCTTCTCTAGGAGCTTTGTCACCTGCCAAGCGGCGAACCTGAGGGAGGGTCGGAGCACCCTCTGCACCAGCTGGCCTGGAGTCAAGCCCTCCCCGGGGTGGGGGGGGGGGGCTCCAGTCGGAGACTCTCAGCTTCCCGGGGCGGATGTCTGTGGCCGGGAGCCTGCATTGCTTGTGTGGAGTGTGGTTGGTGAAGCAGCCTCCACTGTGTGCTTGAGGTTGAGGCGCGGGTGTTGCTGGGTGGCCGGTTCTAACAGTAGATCTTGAGGAGGGGTGTGTGTTTGCACGAGGCCGCTGGTTAAAGGTCCTTCTCGCTCCCCGAATCTCGACCGGCTCTCAGGACGGCCCCGGGGGCAACCCCAGCAGCAGCACCATCAGCCAGGACTCGCTGCACAAAGCCCCGAAGAAGGGCATCAAGTCGTGCATCGGCCGCTTGTTTGGAAAGAAGGAAAAGGGCCAGCCTGGACACCCGGCAAGGAGGCCTTAGGACCAGGTGGGTGCTTCCCCGTTGAGAGGGAAGAGAACCTGCAGGCTTGTCCCTTCTGTGTCTCCCCCCCTGCCCCACGAGGCTCCTGTCACTCACACTCGGGGTCCTCCTGGGAGCAAGAGTGGAGGAGGCATCCGTCTTCTTGGTGGGTCCAAGATGATCTGATGAGTTAATGAGTGGATGTGTGGATGAATTATGTCTAGAGGGATGGATGGATGGATTAGTGAGTGGATGGATGGATGGATTAGTGAGTGGATGGATGGATGAACAGATGACTGGCTTGATGGGTCGACAGAATTCGTGAGTGGGTGGAATATGGACTAGTGAGTGTATGGATGGTTGAAGAGATGGCTGGCTCGATGGGTGGATGAACGAAGCATGGAATGAATAAAGCAGATGTTTATACTCCAACGCTAGAAACATATTCTATGAAGTTGATTGAGTAGGAGCTGGGCAATGATTGACTCCTCCAGAACACTGACAAGTGTTTGGAAACGGCCTAAGTGCTCATCAGTGAGGGGTGAGGTCCAATCTGTGCACATCCCACGAGGAGCAGCCCTCCTCCTCCTTCCTGCCACCTTCCTCGTCCCCAGGAGCTCCTCAGGGGTTCTGCCCACGACCCCCACAGTCACACAGGTCCTCCTGGGGTCTCCTCATCACCCAGCATGAGCATCAGGCCCCCATCTCTCTCGGCTTCACCTCCTTGAGGACAGGGTATGTTCCTGCCTCTTCAGCCAGATATTTGTACAGTATCTTGTTTGTGCTGGGTGTGGGATATACACCCAGGGGTAAGTAAAACAGATGTGGTCTGGACCACAGTTAAGACACACGAGAGAAAAAGGAGCAGCTTATTAAATGCTGTCCCTATTATTAGTAAAGACAACGCTGAGATGGATGGTGCATTGATTATATACCAGATGCTGGGTGTGCCCCTTCCCAAGCAGGGGCTGCCACCTCCCGATTTACAGAGGAGGACACAGTGATGGTCACGCGGTCAGGGAGTGGTGAGGGCAGGTGCACACCCACGCAGTGGGACCATGCACTTTGCCGAGCCCCAGCCACCGCTCTGGTGGATGCAACAGGAATGAGATGGTTCTATGGCATCACTGACTCAATGGCCTTGAGTTTGAGCAAACTCCAGGAGATACTGAAGGACAGGAAAGCCTGGAGTGCTGCAGTCCACAGAGTGGCAAAGAGTTGGACACAACTGAGCGACTGAACTAAAGCCTGAGTGTGTGCTAAACTGCTTCGGTCGTGTCTGACTCATTGCGACCCCAGGGAGTGTAGGCCGCTAGCTCCTCTGTCCATGGGATTCTCCAGGCAAGAATACTGGAGTGGGCTGCCATGCCCTCCTCCAGGGCATCTTCTCGACCCAGGGATCAAACCCACATCTCGTTATCTCTCACATTGGCAGGCAAGATCTCTACAGCTCGCGCCACCTGGAAAGGCCCCGTGAACGCTGACAACTAGGAAATGCAGAAAAGAAGGGCTGCTCCTAAGTTAAACTGGAAGAGCCGCAAGCACAGGTTGTAAGGAGGAAACCACACGACGAGTGGCGACAGTGCGGACAGAAACAAGCAGGGACACCTTCACCCACATAAAACAAGTGTGCCGTTCAGAAGAGGAGCCCGTCAGCCCTTGGAGGGACAGTTGGAACCAGAATGAAAACCGAGGCCATGGTCAGCAGTGCCCATGCACACGGCCTGAGTAGCGTGGTGTCACTCACCGGGCTTCCTGCATCCCCAGAGCTGCTGCCGGCGGTAACATCTCTGAGTGCTAGGCCGGCAGCGTCCCCGAGTGAGCTGAGGCATCGCTGCTGTCCTTGCAGTGCTGCTGCGGGGCCCTCTGTGGGCGGCCACCCTCATCCCCTGCCCCGCCACCCACTGGGGCCCGGCTGTCCCCCTGGGATCCTTTCAGCCCCTCAGCGTGGGTGCTCCCAGCCCTCTGCCTCACTGGACTGGGTGGCAACTCAGAACTTGGGCTTGAGATATCAAGGCGACCGTGAATCTGGAAGGACACTGCCCTGGGGCCTGTGAGAGAGCAGGAGAGCAGAGCCCCCATGGGGAGGAAGCAGAGCTGGGGAGCGTGCCTACAGCATGGCTGCCTCCTCCACAAGTGCCCCTCCACCTCTCCTTGACCTGAAACAGACCCCAGCTGCTGCTGCTCTGCAGGTGATTCCTACAGATGCACCTCCTGCACGAGCTGTTGTTGTGCTGCTCAGGGGCTGCCTGAGTGTGCTCAGGAGCATCAGACAAGTGGGGCTGCCATGCCTGATGCTGGGGGAGGGCCTGACGCTGGGCTTGGGTCTGATGCTGGACTAGGGCCGGATGTTGAGGGGGTACGTCTGATGCGTCTTGTGCTAGTCTAGGATCAGAAGCTCGGGGAAGAGCCTGTTGCTGGCCGAGTGTCTGATGCTGGACTAGGGCCTTATGCTGGGGGGGGGGGTGTCTTCTGATGCTGGACTAGGGTCTGAGGCTGGGGGAATGTCTGATGCTAGACTAGGGTCTGATGCTGGGGGAGGGCCTGTTGCTGGGCGAGTGTCTGATGTTGTAGTATGGTCTGATGCTGGGGGAGGGCCTGATGCTGGGGAGGAATGTCTGATGCTGTGGGCCAGTCTGATGATGGTGGGCAGCCTGCACCCAGATGTACACAGAGTTGTGATTGTAAATCTCCATGAGAAAAAAAAATCTCTATGAGAAATCTTTTTTTCATACGTTCCTGACCACCTTTGTATGTTCTTTCTTTCTGAAGCATAATTGCTGTGCAATATCGGTTTGATTTCTGTCGTAAATCAACATGAATTAGCCATAGGTGTACGTATGTCCCGTCCCTCGTGAATCTCCCTGCCACCTCCCCTTGCTACATTCTTGTTTCTATGGGTATATGAATAATAAAGACTGTTGACTAAATTAACATAAACAGCTCCCATACACAAGCATGCACATGCACACTCTCTAGTGCATTCCCCTGGCCACCCCGCCCGGGCACCCTCGGTGAGCCTTGACACCTGCACTCTCTTGCCACCCTCGGCCCACTGCCCTCGCCTCTGCAGCAGAGGGGTCCTGTCCCCGAAGATGCTGAAGTGATGGAGCCTCTTGTCTCTGGATCCAAAGGCATGAACACCCCATCGGTCATCCTTTGGGGACACCTATAGTTCCCCCTTCTAGCCTTTCCATTCTCTCCATGCGTTTCTCTTACCAGAGGGCCCATGTGATGACACGGGCTCCCATTACCAGCTCGGGCCTGTTCTCAGTGAGAGTCCAGCTTACCCTCGGCACTCTTAAGTGGCAGTGGGACATTTGGCTTCAGTACTTTATTGAAAGAAAGCAATAAATAATACTGTGATAAAAATTGTTCAAAAGTAAACTGTACGTACTTTCTCACATATTCAGGAAGTTCACAAAAGATTAATAGAAAAACAGAATGGTAACAGTGAACTGTACAGGTAAGTTAAAGGCGCTACCCACATGTAAAGAGACATGCCGTCTCTGTCTACCAAGATATCAGCGGCATAATAAACAACACACCGTGATCTGAACGCATCTCTTGCTGGCTTTTTTAATGTGCCACTGAACAAGTAAAAGTTACATTTGCTACCTATACAATCCAGAATGGCTATGTCATCAAAATCTAAAAATGTATGCCTAGATCCATTCTTTTAACAAGTTTACAAACAGATGTAAAAAGATGATTTACAGAAGAAAAATAAGGCCTTCGTCAGAGCTGCACTACGCTGTCTGTCTGTCAGGGATGTGGCTCCTTCACCGTCCAGTGCATCAGCTCTGCAGCGGGCGCAGGGCATCGTGATTGGTCCCCGAAAAGTCTCAGTGGAGAGGAGGGATCCGGGTCCATAGAGACCAGGTTATGGGAGAGATTGTCATAGGCTTCTAGTCATGCTTTCAGCCCAGATTTCAGTAGAAGCTCACATTCAGCACCCATACTTTTACGTCACTTCACGCTGCAGGCAAAAAGCATTTCTTGCTGGAAAAAGTACAGTTTAAGTCAGTCGTTAAAATGCGACAATTGGTTGAAATTAAGTTTGCTCATTTCAGAGTGATTGTTGGCGAGCTTGGTTAACATTCTGGAAGGATAATGCACACCGTGTCATGATGATTTTACAATCGCAGGAAAACCCCTTCTCTCGTGGTTTCTCATTTAAAAATTAAAGAACGATAATGACAATAAATGCATCATTTACAAAAGCCCTATGTTTGTTCATAGGCTTTATACAGGCAAGCAGTACAGTACATTCATTTGAAAGACTAAAATCATTTATCAGAACATGAATTGATCTGAAAGTATATTCATAGCCTGAATATACAAGAATAAGCATATAAATGAAGTCATAAGTTTACATAAATATAAGAAACATTAAATTCTAAAATATTTTCTCTATGGTAGGCATGAATTTTTCACTAATGAAAAACCCTGTAATAAAATATCTTCAGGTCCATATAACAAGTAGTAACAGATTAAATTAAAGATTGCACTGCCATGGTGGGAGGGACACCCATGTGCAGGGACGCGAGGGAGCCTCGGGCCGTGGTCTGACAACTCCGGTGGCAGCCGGGCGCCAAGGTCACGTTCTCTGCCGCTGAGGGCTCTCCAGGGCCGACCTCCGGAGACCCGCTGACCCTCCACTCCCAGGGCGTGGCCTCCATGCCCCCTCGGGACCAGGCTGGCCCCCGAAGCTCAGCAGAAGTGAGTCCTGACTGTAGCGGAGTCCAGCCTCTGCATTCCGCCATGCTGCCAGGTCCCAGGAGTGCCACCACCACCATTCTGCTGATACAGGAGAGTAACAGTTTATGTGGAAGACCATCTGGGTTTTCTTGTGAATAAGGCAGAGGTATTTTAGTGGTATCAAGTATTGATGGTTGCAGGTACCTGCTAAGGGCTTTAGCTACTACCAGAGTGAGGTCCTGACAGGTAATTATTCATGAACAGGAATAGCATATGATGGTTTTAACATTCTTCTTGACGGATGCATCATCCACCCTTCC